GACAGGGTCCACGCGGGCTTCTGGAGTCACAGAGATAAACGACAATAGGGTAACGTCTCGGTGCAACACGGGTTTATAGAGGCACAAGCCCTGTAGATTGGATAGCATCATTCCTGACTACCTAAAAAGTATCAGTGTGTATATGCAGGTGTAGAAATACACCTCATTGTTGAAAATTTAAAAGACACTAAGGACACCCATAATGATTTCATTTAAATGTTTAAATTGCAGGGTTAAATACACCTCTTGTATTATTTTAATTGCAGGGTTAAATACACCTGCATATACACACTGACAGACACTAGAGTCTCTTCCACTGCAATAACTGAATCAGGCTTGGATCTTCAATCAATGCTTCTCATAGAGAGCGTTGATTGGACAAGCACTGTGTGTTGCCTTGCATGTACATCTTGTCCACAATGAATTCATATGAGAAGCACTAAATTGGACAAGAACACGGAAGTTATCAATGTGTTTATTGACGAAGAAGAAGGCAAAGCAAGCAGTTGCAGTGACTGTGTCTTTGTGCAGGGAACAAGGTAAGTAAGAAGAGGTGTAAGCAGTACTCATGGCCAAGGAAGGCGTGAAAAGTCATGGCACTACTGCTGTTGGTGGTTAAGGGTACACGACCCCTACCATGTCTCACATTTTTTTTTTTTGAACAAATTAGGACATATTACTGATTATAGGTTTACTTTTATTAATATGAATATATCGTGTAACCTAACACAACTATATTAAACGACCACTAAAGTCACCCAGACCACTTCATCTCAACGAAGTGATCTTGATGCAGTGGTACTGTATTTTTTTTTTTTTATGTGTAATATTTTTTATTGAGTTTGGGATAATAGTAACAGATGCGAATCATTGTACAGTTGCGGAATATCAGTAAACATTTTTATACCTTGAGGAAGTGCTTCACACTTCATCTAATATTAGAGATCCCCAACAGATTGCTGGAGAGACAAATTACATCGTCTTAACGTCGTAACATTTTAACGTATTAGCCTGCAGCTGCACCGTTGCTATTAGACAACTGACCTAGCCTTGCGACTAGGTAACACCATAGTTACGGATAGGGGGAGTGAAGGGGGGGAAAGGTGGGGTAGAGGGAAAAGGTCGGTTTGGATCGTCAGGAAGTGTTTCCGAATATCATCTTGTAATAGGACTACGTTTGTGTGTGACATTTTTGTCGCCACGTTCCCCATTTTTGCCACGCTGTTTGCCAAACTTTGTTTGCTGACCTCAAACGCCTAGCCTCTATCTCATACACTTGGGTAGTGTCTATCATATCTAGGCATCGTTGAATGCTAGGTGGGTTTGCGCTCAGCCAATTCCTGCTTATAGTCATCAGCGCTGTAATAATAATGTGGTATGTTAGGTATATGTCAGCCTTTGAAAGCTTGTGTGGCAGGGCTAGCAGTAAATAAGTTTCCGGAGAGTGTGGTAAGGTATTGCCAGTAGATTTAGTTATAATATCTGAAACGTTTTCCCAAAAGGGCTTAATTGCTGGGCAAGTCCACCAAATATGGAGCATTGACCCCGGCTCCTTCAAACATCTCCAGCATGACCCTGACTTATTTGGATCAAATTTACGCAGCCTAGTAGGTACCATGTACCAGCGATATAGCACTTTCCTGCTAGTCTCAATATGGGATGTGTTTAGCGTGAGGTTCTTGTGTGCCATCAGCAGTTTTGACCATACTTCATTGGGTATAGTCAGGTTTAGATCTTTTTCCCATGCCCTCATAAAACTTAGTTTCTTTGGTTGATCTTGTTTCTTGGTCAGTTTATACAGGAGTGACAGCATTTTCTGTGGCGGTTTTGGGGCCAGACATACTCTTTCTATCTCTGTCAATGTCGGTACTTGCGTTTGTGCAGCATCTAGACCGATATTTTTTCTCGCCGATGACTGCAATTGTAAGTATGAGAAGTAGGCTTTGGGAGGAAGGTTAAACTGTTCGGTTAGAGAACTAAAGTCCAGTAAGCGACCATCCATCATTAAGTGGGATAGACGTGTGGCTCCATGTTTACACCACAGGCCATGGTCAAACCCCGGAATAAGGAGTTGGAACGCTGGAATTTGTAGTGCCGGGGATATGTATGAAGTGGAATAGTGTTTCTTGGCATATTTGTCCCATACGAGGAATGTTGCCCCCGTGGTTGGGCATATATCCGTGTATTTCGGTCTCAGATGCCTGGGTATCCAAGCTAGGATGGACATCGAGAGTCCGTCTGTGTTTGCAGTTTCCATGTGACTCCACTTTGACGGAGTTGTATGATAGAAGGTGGATATGAGTGTGCTCATCATGGCCGCCGTGTAATAGCTTGTGATATCAGGTGCCCCCACTCCCCCCTCCTTGAAGGGCCTATACATGGTTTCGGCCGCCGTTCTAGGTCGTTTTCCATCCCATATGAATTGATTTAAGGAATATTGGGCATCTTTAAAAAACTGGCGAGGTAGCTGTATTTGGAGTTTTCTGAATAGGTACTGTAGTCTTGGTAGTACCATCATTTTTACTGCCGCTATTCTGCCTGTCCATGAGATGTATTTCCCTTTCCAGCTGTGTAGCTGTTGTTTAATTGCGCTAAGTAGTTTTAAATAATTCGCTTTGTACAGCTTTTGTGTCTTGGGTGTGAGGTCTATACCTAGGAAGGTTAAATGGTCGGTTCGCCAATCGTATGTGTGTGTGCTTTGTAGGTGGGTAAGTTGTGCTTTAGGGATGTTGAGGCCCATAGCCTGTGTCTTAGTAATATTGAGCTTATAATATGAGCAGTTGCTAAAGTTAGTCAATATAGTTTGAAGTCGTGGCAGAGATATGTCAGGTTTAGACAATGTGAGCATTACATCATCGGCAAACAGGGTAATCTTGTGTGTTTCTCCCCCTATTTGTATTCCATGGACGTTGTGTGAATCCCTAATGTGTTGGGCCTGAGGTTCTAGTGCTAGTATGTATAGTAAGGGTGAGAGTGGGCAGCCCTGTCTGGACCCATTTGAGATGTGGAAAGGTTTGGAGGTAAAACCGCCATTGGCTATTTTTGCCGTCGGATTGTCGTATAGTGCCGAGACTAGTGTGATGAAACACCTGGGAAAAGCAAATCTCCGCAGCACAGCCTCCAGGTATACCCAGTGTAGCCTGTCAAACGCCTTCTCAGCGTCCAGTGACAGCGCCACACTGGGTTCCCCGGTTTTCTGGATCCTGTGTAAGATGTTGATCAGTTTTCTGGTCCCATCCAAGCCTTGTCTGCCTCGGACAAACCCTACTTGGTCATCTCGAACCAGTGTTGGTAATATGTTACCCAGCCTGTTTGCGTAAATTTTCGCTAAGATTTTTAAATCAGTATTTAGGAGCGATATAGGGCGCAGATTCTGGCATTTATTTGGGGGTTTCCCTGGTTTTGGCAGTGTAGTTATGTGGGCCAACAGCATTTCGCTTGGTATAGTGCCTGTAGTGAGAATATTATTGTATAGTTTTTCTAGTTTGGGGGTGAGAATGTGAGAGAAGATCTTGTAGTATAAGTTCGTAAAGCCATCTGGGCCTGGTGACTTCCCTTTTGGGAGGGCTTCGATTGTGCGTGCAATTTCGCTTTGGGTAATGGGTTCTTCTAGTAGAGTCTGATCTGCCTGCGATAGTTGTTGTAATTGCACTGTTAGAAACGCGTCTATCTCCATTGGGAGTGGTTGGTGTGTATGCTGATCCCTTTTTAAGCTATATAGCGTATCATAGTAATCTGCCAGCATATTGTTTGTATCATGTGGGCTATACATTTTATTGCCCATGGCGTTTAAGAGAAATGGAATTTTTTTTTTTGCGTTTTGCCTTTTCTGCCGCAGGAGTGCTGCCAATGCTTTCCCTGCCCTGTTTCCCTGGGTGTATGTTTTGAGTTTCATCCTATGTGACATGATAGCTGTGGTACGCAGGTGTATGTCGTTCAATTTCCCCTGAAGTTGAGCTATGCGCTGCTGTGCGGAGGGGGGTGGGTGTATGATGTGTGCAGACGTTTCGTCCCTAAGTGATCTCAAAAGGTCTATATACTCTTTCTTTGCTTGCCTATTCAGGTGAGATGCTTGGCTAATCAAGAGACCCCGTATGACTGCCTTATGTGTTTGCCATGTTGTGGCCAATGAGACATCGGGTGTTTCGTTTAAGGCAAAGAACGAAAGTATCTCTTCGTTAAGTTTGGTTTTAAATTCTGGGTTGTGTAAGAGAGTGTCGTTTAGACGCCAAAGTGTCGCCCCTCTGGTCTGGAATTTGTCCCTTAGGGTAAGTTGTACTGGGGCATGGTCTGACCAGACTATGTTTCCTATCTCACTATGCGTTGCCATTGGTAGCATGTCGCCCGAAATTATTATCAAGCCAATTCTGGTGTATGTTTTATGTACAGATGAGTAAAATGTAAATTCCCGTTCGTTCGGATGCTGTGTCCTCCAAATGTCATAGAGACCGTGTTCGGAGATGAGCCTCGTAAGTGCTGTAGCCTGTTTGCCCAGTGTTTTGCATCTAGGTGATGCGTCCGAGAGTGTAGTGTCTAATCGGGGTTGCAAGATGTGATTTAAGTCCCCGCATATGATTGTGGATGATTGGTGCGTGTTGGGGAGTTTATTCAATACCTTCTGTAGGAAATTCCTTTGGTTATTGTTTGGTCCATACAGTCCCACTAGGGTGTACAGGGTATCATTGATTTTACCGTGTCTTTTTTGAGACGTAGAAGTTCGAATGCTATTGAGGTGTGTATGAAAAATTAAACGCCTCTTGATTTAGATGAGTACGTTGAGTGATATTGTGTGGGGTATTCTCTGTCTGCAAATCTGGCCACTCTGTTGTGTACAAAGTGAGTCTCTTGGACGCATAGGATATCTGCCTTAGCGCGCTTTGCGTCCTCAATAAAGAGTCTCCTTTTGTGTGGAGTGTTTAGTCCACGTGCATTAATAGTCTGTATTCTCATATTTTGTATGGGTTATACAGTTTAGCTGCTTAGATCTCACTTGCCCTTGCCTGTTATGTTCCCCTCGTTGAGAGGGGGGGTACTGTGCGACTGTTTTACATGTTGACTCGAATGTAACGATGACGTAGAGTTGCATAATGTGCGCAGATAGGTAGTAGTATGGGTTTGGAAATGCTTTAGTTCCATTGGCAATTTGTGACCGACCGTGGGAGTTTGGGGTTAGGGAAAAATAACTAGGGGAGGGTGTAAAAACTATGTACAGAGTGTTCCTTTCAGGGGCTTTATGTGGATTAACCACATCCGGGGGGTAGGAGAGAAAGTTTCCTTCCATTAGCGTAGCTATTTGGGCACCTTCGTGACTTGTGACTGTGTGCTGCCTCTGATATGTGATTGGGCCAATCAAGGCCACTGGGTAGGATCTCAACGTGGGCACGACAGGTTGAGGTCGGCTAGGGACCAGACGTTCCCGCCTGAGTTAGAGATTGTGTTAGGACGTGCTATCAGTTTCGGATGGTCGGGCCACATATGCTGATTGACATGCTGTGTCTACTAGCGTCTGGCACGAAGGGGCCCGATGTATGTATGTGTCAGCAGTAAATTATATCACAAACATTCTGAAGTAAGAACATAACATGCAATAACTGTTGTACGCTGCTAATCGTCTGGCCCCGCCCCAGAGATCAAAACGTTCCCCAGAAGTCGTTACAGTTCCCACACATTCAAGGCCCGGACCACAACATCCCCGTTACCCCGCCAGACCTGTTAGCAGGCGTGTGCAATGTTTTTAGTCCCGCAGCCTGTCTCGGCAACTCCAGAGTCTCGTGGTCTACCTCAGGCCTCAGGTCGTGGGATTATGCTCCGCATCACTCCATTAAACTGTCATGCCGCATATCCGAGGTGGAGGCTGCACAGGTCGCATCGTACACAGACCCGGGGAGAAGTGAAGGGGCGAAGGGGGGGGAAGGGGAAAGGACCCGCCATCCCAGGGTAGTAGTCCAGACCGGGGACCCCCGCAGGTATCCTCTGCTCTGGGCACGCTTCGTCACAGGGACAGCGGGAGGCCCCGATCCAGAGTCACCCACCTATCGAGATCCCAGGTTACAAGCTCATGTCCAACTTTATGCGGTACGTCCCATGTTCTGCATATTGAGGAGAGAGGCACGTCATTGTGACATCATCTGGGTAGTGTATATTCAAAAGGGCTTTCGCCTGCGTACCAGGATCCCATCTGGTTTCAATGTTTCCCGTGAGCTTTTTCCCAGTCCGGCTTGAGTGTGCCCGCTTGTCGTGTAGGCTGGATGGTCGGCTCCACCGGCAGGTTCAAGGCTTGTAGTTTCTTTAGGCCGTCCTCAGGGGAGTGTATCACCGCTGTATCTCCATCTTGCGTGACGATCAATTTTGTGGGGAATCCCAACCTGTACCGTATGCCGTGAGACCTCAACGTGCTGGTGACTTGATGGAAGTCTTTCCTTTTCCGTAGTGTAGCGGCTGATAGGTCCGCATAGATTTTGACCGTTGGGTAGTCGGCCGGCGGCTTAGCTCTCAGTCTGCTGCTCCGGAGGATGTGTTCCTTTATGTGGAAATAATGTGCCCACAACAGTATGTCTCTTGGCACCGTTTGTGGGAGATGACGGGGTTTCGGGATGCGATGAGCCCGATCCACCAGCAACATATCTGTGGGTATCTCCGGTGCATGGGCGTGCAGGAGGTTTCGGACATAAGCCGGCAAGTCGTCGGTAGTAACATCTTCGGGGACTCCTCGCAGGCGTAGATTATTCCGGCGGGAGCGGTCCACCATATCTGCCATTTTTTCTTCCATAATGTTAATCTTTGCTGCCATGCGTTCAACATTCGTGGCCAGATCATTATGCGCCGTGGTGAATTCGTCACATTTGTCCTCCATATGCGACGTCCGTTTCCCCAGCTCCTGGATGTCCTTCCGTAAAGAGTCTGCTGTGTGTTGCCATGTGGTGATTAGCTTAGCAGACAGGACCTCCAGGGCTGCTGTAAGGTCAGCCTTAGTGATCTGTGTTGTATCTGATCTTGCCTCCAAGCCGTTATTGTGCGTGTCGTCATCCAACTCAGGATCCTCTGCTGCTTTTGAGGCCTGCGTAACCAGGGCCGCAGAAGTTTGTTTCTGGCTAAATAAATTGAGCATATCCGGCTTCGCCGTGCTCCTCTTGCTTTTGTGGTGGGACATTGTCGGTCTATCTTGTTAGATGCAGCTTTAGGCTGTAGGATTATGCTAGTTTAGGTGCCCTAGTGACGGAGCAAGTTTTCATGCTGCCATCTTGCTCCATGGTTAGCCACGCCCTCCGGCATATCCCATTTTAAATACCCTGGGATGTCTACTTTTTCAAATGGTATGCCATGATGGGGATAATTTTCATTTCTGGGCTGCCATACGGTCTCAATGTGGTACTGTATTTTTAACCCTTTAAAGTAAAACATAATATTTACATTATTGGAATAAGCAAGCCACTAAAGGTGCTTCTGTCTTCACAACTGGGTAAAACTTGGTCCTGCTTAGAGCAGCATCTAATTGGGGGAGCACAGCGTTTGGCCATACATGGGCTCTCCAGTCTAAAGTTTCGAGACAGTTTCTCCAGAGGCAGAGATGGACGCTGCAGCAGAGTAGTCCTGGCAATGGAAAAGAGGTGAGCAATTTCTGCAAAGGTGGGTGGACAGTACTGAAAGTGATTATAAGGGAACATGTAATGCTCCCAAAAAAGCTTATTAATTTGGGGATTATAGGTTCCCTTTAAGCTAAAGCAATTAAAAGAACCTGCACTGTATTTTTGGTTTATATATAAACTACTCCAACATTTAATTTTGCTCATAACCGATTGTGATAAATGCATCCTAATTAACAGAAGTGAATGCCATTAGAGAAATTGTTTTATGGTTTGCTCATAAACAGTAACTTGAACCAGGTGCAAAATTATTTTGGAAAACAAAGCAAACTAAATTTTGCATGAAATAAACAGAGCTGTTTGCAAGTAGTAACCATGCTCATAGTTTGTAATTAACCTAATAATACCTTTTGCATGCCAGCAAATGCATTAGTTTGATAACATGTTTGTCAAATTCAACAAAAGCTCCAATGCAAAGCTTTAATTAGATGTTTATGCAAATAAATGTTAGTACAATGATTTTTACCACTTGGCAACATGAACAAAAATGAGAAATAGTTACATCTCCTATGCTGATTTTGTAATGAAGCTTTGGACCATCAATTTGATCTAAACATTGAATAAATCAGTTTAACACTATGAGTACCAAAACAAATTTTAATAATAAAAAATGTATTACAGGGACTACATTGCACAGCTATTACTGTTTATAAGGTTAAATTAAATATGGCAAATGAGCTTCAAGATAATAGTACTCTAGGAGTTTAAAAGGAAATTAATCAGCAAAGATACAAAAGTGGATATCCTGAAAGCAATGAGCTATAAACCTGACACAGACTAACATTTTTATAATTGCATTGACAAATCAAACACAAATGTACGGCAAAATATGCAAAATGCAGTTGAACTAAAAGAAGGTGACTAAAGCAAATTAATTGGAAAAAGGCGGTAATTTACAAAGCTTAAAGAGGCATTCCTTAATGCCATATGAAATGTAACAATATACAAAAAGATGCACATTTTAGTTAATAAGTTAAACAGTTTTATTAAATACACACAATAAACAAGACAAAAACAAGTAACAATAATAATATTGCAATCCTACAAAAAACAGTAATAGAGGCTATATAGCATACAATTAAATCACAAAGGCATAGATGCTCACTAGCATATTACCTCAAAGGGCTGGACCCGTGTTTCAAACATACCCCGATGTTTCGGCACAGTTACTAGTACCTTTCTCAAGGGACAATAACGTGATTGAATCCACTCACTTAAAATTTGGTTAAAACTGTTTTCAGTAAATGTTTCTTGAATCAAAAAAGAAAAAAGAAATAGAGATGAAGTATAAAACAGATGCACTGTATACAATAACACTGCATGATAGGAAGATAGCACACGGTATGTACAAGTTGACAAACGGCATTGATGATAAAGAGCAATAAATCACATAATCATATTATTATTATTAGTATTGCCATTTATATAGCGCCAACAGATATGGACCGTACAACATCTCAAACAATCTTGTTAAAATCTAAAAAGTCAGAATAGTCTGCCAGAAAATAAGCCCTGTGTGCTATTATTTCTTAGAGATGCTCTATGCAATGCGGTTTCTACAATATTAAATGTTTTTTCTTCTGTTGGTATCATAGTGACCCATTGAGGGCCAGTGGAAGGATTATTGCCACCTTAGGCAAAAATTCACTTTGCTAACCTTGTGTTCATTAAAATATGTTAGACTTTCTCACATGCTCAGTCTTTTTATTGTTCTGTTTACAAATTCTGTTCCTCTCATCACATATATATATATATATATATACATATATATATATATATTTATATATATACTAGTCTAATTTTTCAAATTTTATTGTTTAATGTAATCATTGATATATAAAACAAATTAAAAATAAATAATGTTTCCCACACTTTTGCCAGTTTGTCCCTGATTGTCCTCTCTTTTCTTCCAATCTTTTCACTGGTCTCTTTTTTTTCTTCCCCATATTTCCGACCATCCCAGACACTTTAAAACAAAAATTATTCTTTATTTTTGATGTGCAATATCAGCACACAGGATAGCAATGAAACATTACTGACTGGGTCAGAGTATAAGAACATGCGGGTGAAACACAACATGTCAGGATAATTTGCACATTTTAAAGTTATTAGGTAAGAAATATAGTAGTCAAGCTAAAGATGCACAGTTATAAAGTGGACAAGCTTAGTATGCATGCATAAACAAATTCGGTAAGGAGAACATGAGTAGTAAGATATACATTCAAGAGATTTTCAAAGATGTAAACATTTAAACCACTGGGTGCAGATCATTCACAATGCTATCGCACAACATTTGCAGGGCAGGTGGGGTATGGGCAACCAGGCTGCGGGTGAACTCAACTGGAGAAAGTCCTGGGGTTACAATCAGCCTACCCCCATAAGAGGTATGATGGAGGTGTTGTCTTGGAAGTCCCTAGAGAGGTTTGCCCACTGGTTCCACAGGTCTGCCCTCTCCCAGTCCCTTGCTTGCAGGTTTGGTGTTTTTGCCTCTCCCAGGTCTTTTCCCTTTGTGCGGTAGCCAGGGGCTCGGTATGTGAGCA